GTGAAGATGAAAAATGCTTTGTAAGCATTAAGTATAATACTTCTGTCTCTTGTATTGAAACAAGCAGTATATAGAATAGGGTATTTTAATGGTATCATATTGCAATTCTGTAGTTGCATAATTAATAATTTTCTGATTCTTTGATAATATTGGAACTTTTGTGAATGCTCACATACATAAAATCTACCCTTCAACTTTTTAAAATTCCTTTACTGGATTTTCTAGCCATTACTTACGTATGTCATGGGAGAAATTTGCTACAGGCTGTTGGGAGACATCCTCAGTGAGTTATACAGACCACACAGCTTTACAAGTGACAGGCTTGTCAGTATCATTTAAAGTTGGGCAGTATCTAGGACATGAAATATAATAAGTAAATAAATAGTGTGTGTTTTTATCTTCGCATAGGCTAATGTAGGTATGCCATCAGTGATATTTCTAATAGGAGTGTAATCTTCAATTTTTCTAAGCAAAATGTAAAGCTGAGTGTGCTTCCACTCTTAATGGAAGAATTTTATGATTGGTTCATTAAGGCTCTTAATAATCTAATTTCACAAGGGCGTCAACCCACTTGTTATTCAGTGCTTTCTTTATCCACATCTTACTGCTAATAATGGATTCAGAAAAGGGAACAATGGTGGTTTTACTTATAGCATAAGGGATTTTAGTCACAGCATTGTTCTTGGTCATTTAAGTTAATAAAAAATGAGGTTTTCCAATGTGCACTTCAATTCCGCTAATAATCTTTTAGAAAAGAATGGGAAAGAGGAAAGCATGTGGTTTGAGAGAAATATGTTAAAGGAGGATTGTCATGACCTGGGTACTTCCTGAGAAACTGAAAGAGGAGAACCCTTGTCTACTTGAAGGAATATGTGATAAGCATTCAAGTTAAATTTTAATCAATTATCATTTGCTAACTCAGTAATCAGAAAACTGATTTCCAGTTCTGAGCAGTGATAAAAAAATGGCAAATCTACCCATAATGAGACCCTGTAAAAGCCTTCAAAAAGTTAATCAGAAGGAATTTACATAAAACGTAGTAAGGTGCCTGTATTCCACCTTGATTACAAGAACAAATAAAATTATTCATCCTAGCTAGGGGATGAAGTTTCATTAACATTTGGAGAGATGGTGAAATTTTTACTGTTTCTGTAGAGTAGATAATGTACTAATTACAGTTAGATGGAAGGTTTTGATGTTGCCAAATACCCAGTAAGAGAGAAGAATAGGGCATTCTTACATCTATGCAATATTTCACTTACTAAATGTAGCATTCAAGATTTTAGCTAATTCTCTCTGTCTTCAGTGGATAGAGTCTCCATCTGTCTCTCTCTCTCTGCCTTCCTTCATCCATTTTTGTGAGGAAATTGAACCAATCTAAACAGCATTAGACCAGTTTCCTTGATCAGCTCTTAGAAAATTATCTCATCATGGACCCCAAAGCGAGGTGCACCCTGAGATACTAGTGGAAAAACTCCTTGGTCTATTTGGGTTATTTTGCCAGCTGTCTGTATGTAGGTGAGTACCAATAAATTACAAGGATAGTCATGTGTCAAACAATGGCTGGCCTTGCTTGTGACAAGTGTGAACAAGATTATGATCAAGATGATGGGCAGGTCTGGTCAAGATGATGGACAGATCTCCCAACAGCCTAGATACAATTTCCCTGGAGGCCTGCCTGGAGCGAGCATCAGAACTACGATTTTGAATAAACCATTCTCTGTTCACCCACTGTTTTGTCTATGTGTCTTCATCTAAACAGGGAAAATTCCGGCTGGTTCTGACTGAAACCTCCATGCTACCCTAAAGCCTCTCATGTGGGGGTTGTTCAGGTTATTCCAGGTGTGCTGGCAGTGTGCAGCCTGGCTCTGTATGAAAACCATTTTAAGAAGACAAGGTTATGCATATCCATTCATATTCCGAGTTTTGTCCTGAAGTTATGAAGCAAATTTAACAGTGTCTTAAATAAGAGAAGTATTCTAGTCTATTATGTTTTCTTTTCCATTTTAATTAAGTAATTCTGGTAAGAAACATGCCTTCTTTCCAGCCAGTCCAGAACAGCACATTGTTTAATTAGAGTTAGATGCATTTGAAAAAGTACTCAACCATAGAGGAAGGGTACTTGGAAAAAAGACATGATTGAGTTGTCGCGCTGGAAAAATTCCCACAAGGAAATGAGTCATTAACCTATCCTAGCATTTTGCACAATCATTGTCATTGTGGGTGAGGGGGGTTGTCTGTACCTGTGAGCTGGTACGAATGTTTGAGTTTCAGGTAATGACTGGACAGTGAATCCGTTGTGAGTAACTCAAGTAGAGCGTGCAAAAGTATGTATTTGCATGCTTTAAATAGGTAAGAGTGATCAAAATAGCACTTTGGTGATGGGGTTAAAAAAAATCCCTAGAGGTAACAAGTTAATCTGTTCAGCTAGTATGAATGATTGCTTCCAAGTTTTATTGTATGGCAAGCAGTCATTTGAGATTTGGCCATGTTGGTACATGGTCATAGTAGATGGGCCGCCTTTGCAACTTGCACCAGTGAGTTAATGATAATGTAACAGTTTGTATTAGATGTTCTGTTGGTGGTTGTTTCTGCAGACCTCCACAACTGTGCGTTATTTATTGTAAAGTTTTTACTTTTTATTTACAGTATTTTTGTTATTGATAGTATGTTATAATTCTTAAAATGGTTTTTGTTCTTCCTATGCAGTTTGCTAGTGTTCGCATACTAGTGGGGGATGTTTATAAAATTTGTCAGAGGTCAGAATGAATCCCTAACTAACTAGGCTATTTAAGACTGATTGCTGAGAGGTTTTCTTAAAAACGAAGTCTCTTTACATGTCCCGAGTAGAAATGGAGTTAGCATAAATATCCTTTCCATCAAACCTGTCCTAGATACTGCCATATATATGGTTGTAAACAGAAAAATAAGTTAAGTAAATCTAGATATCTGATGCAGACAAGATAACTTCAGAAGTCTATATAGATAAATATCTAAACATGTAAAAACCCACTCTCTGGCGATCAGAATTCCATACTTTTTCTAAGAAGTTTTATTAAGGACTTTTTGTAAATCAGTAGTTTTGCCAGTAGTTTAAAAAAGTTTGCCTTTTTTTTTTTTTTTTAAATAACTGTGATACTCCTTTGCCAAAAGTGCTAGTACCATCCTTGGAGAGAGCAGAAGCCTTTTTCTAATTTGTTTTTCCATTTCTGTAAAATACTCTGTAGGTACCTAATCAGATTACACTGAGGCTTTATTTATTAAGTTTGAGAAGTGCTCTAGTTTTAAAGTTTGTTTCAGTAGAAGTGGTTCAAAGTATAATCTATACAATTTTTATAAACTTTAGGAAAACTGTCATTAATTGTTCCAGAGTCACTGTCCTGGTTTCGGCTGGGATAGAGTTAATTTCCTTCCTAGTAGCTGGTACAGTGCTGTGTTTTGGATTTAGGATGAGAATAATGTTGATAACACACCGATGTTTTAGTTGTTGCTAAGTAGTGCTTACACTAGTCAAGGACTTTTCAGCTTCTCGTGCTCTACCGACTGAGAAGGCTGGAGGTGCACAAGAAGCTGGGAGGGGGCACAGCCAGGACAGCTGACCCAAACTGGCCAAAGGGACATTCCATACCGTGTGACGTCATGCTCAGTACATAAACTGGGGGAAAGCTAGCTGGGGGGGGGCCGCTGCTCGGGGACTGGCTGGGCATTGGTCAGCAATTTCATTGTGCATCACTTGCTTTGTATATTATTATAATTTTTATTTTATTTTATTTCAATTATTAAACTGTTTTTATCTCAACCCACGAGTTTTCTCACTTCTACTCTTCCAGTTCTCTCCCCCATCCCACCCGGGGGGGCGGGGAGGGAGCAAGCGGCTGTGTGGAACTCGGTTGCCGACTGAGGTTAAACCACAACAGTCACACAATAATATTTTAAAATATATTACCAAATACATGATTTATTTATTGAAAACATGCAAGTTATAAGCTAAAGAACCCTATCAGGTAACCTAGAAAAAATATTGCTGTGGGAAAAGTTGATTGGTGCATGCTTATTTCTCATCACATTGTTTTGTGTGTTGACTGTTTTGCAGCCTCTTCCATTATGGTCAGGATAAAACTTAAGGGAGGTAGTTAAAGCAAAATTTTGGCTTCTTTGCTATTAACTGTGTTGGGTTTTTTTTCCTGTTGGATTGAATCACAGAATGTTTTGGGTTGGAAGGGACCTTTAAAGATCATCTAGTTCCACCCCCTCTGCCCTGGGCAGGGACATCTTTCACTAGATCAGATTTCTCAAAGGCCCATCTAGCCTGGCCTTGAACACTTTCAGGGATGGGACATCCACAGCTTCTCTGGGCAACCTGTTCCAGTGTCTCACCAGCCTCATTGTAAAAAAATTCTTCCTTATATCTAATCTAAATCTACCCTCTTTTAGTTTAAAGCTGTTACCCCTTGTCCTGTCACTACAGCCCTTGGTAAACAGTCTGTCTCCGTCTTTCTTATAAGCCCCTTTTAATTATTGAAAGGCCGCAATAATGTCTCCCTGGAGACTTCCCTTCTCTAGGCTGAACAACCCCAACTCTCTCAGCCTTTCCTCGTAGGAGAGGTGTTCCATCCCTCTGATCATTTTCATGGCCCTCTTCTGGACCAGCTCCAACAGGTCTGTGTCTTTCTCGTGCTGGGGACCCCGGAGCTGGATGCAGTACTCCAGGTGGGGTCTCACCAGAGCAGAGTAGAGGGGCAGAATCACCTCCCTCGACCTGCTGGCCACGCTTCTTTTCATGCAGCCCAGGATACGATTGGCTTTCTGGGCTGCGAGCGCACATTGCCGGGTCATGTCCAATTTTTCATTCACCACTATCCCAAAGTCCTTCTCTGCAGGGCTGCTCTGAATCCATTCATTGCTGGTTGTATGGTTGCTGTATTCACAGTTGTGTTTTGTGGGAAACAGGGAATGATTTTTAACATTGTTTTTTTCTCATTTTTCTTTTTTTAACTCTCTTTCAGAATTCCCCACTCTACCAGTATCTGCAGGATTTGGGACACACAGATTTTGAAGTATGTTCATCTGTGTCGCGGAAGGCAGAGCAATGTGCAGCAGCGGAAAGCCAGAAAGAGCGGACTGTGCATGCCGCCCAGAAAGTGAGCGCTCTCCTGTTCCTGAGTATTTATCTTCTCAAAAGAGCACTGCATTACTTCACAAATAGGCAAAATCAGAGGGGATAAAGATAAATCCCTTACTGTATTAAAAAAAAAAAGAAAAACAAACAAACAAACAAAAACCCAACCAGTTGTCCTATCTTGTCTGCAGAAGTGTTTGGAAACGCATGGTTTGCCAGTATAGTTTGGAGTGTTTCCTTGCATTTGTGTAAGCTAGGGAAGCAAGAGACTTTGATAATGAATTTTTTGAGTGTTGTAAATTATCTTATTTACTGGATATTATTATGTTAGCTTAGCATGACATTCTGGGAATAAAACCTGTAATTTTCTGGAACAGAATATTTATAGTTCCCAGCCCTTCTCAGGTATTCAGTTGCTAAATATCGCTTACTCTGTAACAAAACTTATTAAGAAAGAGGATTTCTGGGAAGTATAAATACAATAACCAATCTGAATGAGATAGTAGAACTATGCTTAGGTTATGGCAATTTTCTAACAGTAACAGCTGACAAGGATCATCAGCTGATTAGCTCAGACTTCTTTATCGTTTTAAGTAAAGGCTTGTGGATTTTTTTAAAACATTTTGGTATTAAAATTATGCTTGAGAATTTGGCCATTTAACACCTACTCAGGCCTACGCATTTTTTGTTTTCATTATTAAAAGTAAATGGTATTTTACTGTTATTGGTAGTGTACAGGCAATGTGACTCGGATGAGGAGCTGTAGTGTGGGTGAGGAAGTTCCTCTTTTGAGGCAGCTAATGTAGGAATCTCTTTGCAACAAGTATATTGAAAATTCAGTAGTCGGTCTGTCTTCTCCTTAGCACCTAGATGGAGCATGCAAAGAGCAGTTATTTTCTGCCTACCTCTTTCACTTCCACAGTGGAGAGTTCAATTTTCAGTGGACATGCTCCAACTATGTGCTAAGCCGGGAGGAAAAAAGAGGCCTCCATGCAGACTTCTCTGTCCTGGCCGCTGAAGGCTGAGGTGGGCGGCACCGCACAGGTAAGAACCCAAACCAAGCATTCATGGGTTGATGCATTGCCTCTGAAGAGTTACCATTTCTTTCTCCTCTCTCCCCACTATCTCCGGTAGCTTCCATCTTTGACCACCTTAGGTCATCTGATTCTTGCCTGCTGAGGCTTTTAACCTTCTATTGGAGCTCAGTTTTCCTGTTGTTCATTACTGCTTTATACCTCTTCAGCGATCTTCAAATCAGAGGTTTGCAACCTCTTTCCTCTTGTTTGTAACCTCTGCCGCTTCCCTGCTCCACAATGTTCCACCCTCCCAACTAGCTGGCAGTGAACTGGGGAGAGAATCCTATTTTTCCCAAACACAGGCAATATGATATGAGTGGCCCCGAGATCTCCAGAAGGTCTCCCTGCAGGTTTTGGTGGAGGGGGGATCATATGGCAAATGAGGAGAGCTGATGCTTTTCTTAGGATCTTCTCTCAAATAATGCCATCTTGACGTATATCCACTACTCGGTTCTCAGATGCTTCAAGGAATTAGCCAAGTAATAGTCACAGTTAGTTAGGCTTTATTTCAACAATTTTTTTTCAGTTTTGTATGTGTCCCTCTTGTTCCTCCTTTCTTTTAGGTCAGAAGTATTTTCTTCTTGTGGGATTTTTAATCTGTTCTGCTCTGTGTAGGGTCTTAAGTGGGGTAGGATTCGGAAGTGTATGAATTGACGTGGATAACATCAGTCAGGTTTTTTTCTGAGCTGGGGGAAGAACGTGTGGTTTTTTAAATGTTTGCAATAGTATGGTGTACTTGCAAGGACTGACATGCAGAGTCTTTGAAGTGGAAATTTAGAAGTTGCAGTGTGAAGCTTATTCATCTAGCAGTATTCAGAGAAGTGTGATGGGTCATATTTTCATATAGTGATATTCATTTCGAGCACTCTCTGTATAGACTATATAAGCTTCCTCACACACTCATTAGTCCGTTTGAAAAGACAGGATAATAAAACATGACACATTTTGCTTTGGTCTTCAGTCCTGTTGGAGTCTTATCTTCATGGATAGATTGGACACAGTTTGTGTTTACCTGTTGGGCAGGTGCACTGCGCACTTTGCTTCACAGCCTCGATCCCCAGTTTCTGAGACCTGTAGTCCTATGGAAGTGTGCCATGTCTCCCTTCTCTCACGCCCCACTTTCTGATCAAAGATGACCATGTAGGTGGTCATCTTTGTATATGGATGTATGTGGGTGTATGTATATGTACCCTGTAGATGCAGGGTGCATATCCATTGAGCAGACCAGTAAGTACCGCTGCATGCCCAGCACATGGATTAGGCAGAGCCTGTGAAAAATAATCATACTATAATAAGAATCACTAAGTTTAGTACTGTTCATCCGTATTCTTGCAGAGTTTACAACTTTTCAAAGAGTTCAGCAATCACGTAGAAAAAAATTACGAAGGAGCTTCATACAGAACTCCAGTCTCGTGTGCTGAGGATTTGTGAGCCCAAGAAACAGGTTAACTGACTGGAGGAAGAGAAGTGATTCTTGCAGTGTCTCCATGCTTCCTTGGCTGGTTTCTCTAATGGAAGATTATTTTAAATTTAATGAATAAATTTATTTCTAGTTACTGTTGATGTGGATAGCTATTGCATTTGTAATAATGATTGCGTCTATCAGTGGTCACAAGGCAAGACTGAATTTAATTCAGGGTTTAACTCACAATTTTTTATAGTTTAAACTACCTTTAAAAGTATTCATGGAAATATTAGGTCCACTACCCTTACTTTTCAGAATTGTCAGCTGGCACTCACCATAACCCTCAAAAACCACCTGAAAATATATTTTCCCTTTAAAGCTATTGGCAGTTTTGTGGTACATTTACATTGAAGATACCTATTCTGGCTTAGTGCAGGAAGACTTTAATTAAATCACTGTTAACTGAAAATTAGGGTGACATATTTCATTGGCTGATTATCTGTTCATTACTATGAAGTAATGCATGGACTACAGCTTGTTAGCTGCATTACTTTTTTGCATAATTACTTTTGTGGAAGTCAGTAAAGCAGTATGATACTGTGTTCATGTATATAATTTCCATCGAATTTAGTACAAAAGTGCTGTGGGGTTAAAAACGTCAAAAGTGTCAATATATACTGCTTTTAAAAGCCTCAATTATTCTGTTTTTTCCCCCTTCCTTCCCCTCAAGCATTTTACACTTAATTTTATTGTGTTGGGAGCAAATCTTCCAGTATTGTGTCAGATGTAGAAGTAATTCATCATGGTTTGCCTTGCAACTTGAAGGGAGTGGGTGTGTGAAAATGGGCTGTCCATTTCTCACAAATACTAGGATGACATTCACATTGTGTCATCTCTGTCTAGACAAGGATACGTAGTGGAAATAAGGAAGAAACCTGTGTGTAATTTCTAGTGATAAAATGTCATAGGTTCTTCTTGCTGCTGTTCCAGTACCAGTTTGGGAACGTTAATACTTTTCTTTTGTAATCTGATGTCAGAAAATCTGTTTTTGTCATTTGATTTCTGTGTCCCATTTTGGTAGGGTGTCTCAAAAGGAAAGAGAATGAGGGAAAGGCAGCTGGCCACACATTTAAAAAAGTAGACTGGATTTAGGAGGATCTGAGGCTTTGTTGCAACTTTTGTATGACGTACAGGCAAATCATTTACATTCCCATCCAATCATTTCCTTATTTTTACATGAGACTGTTATCACTTCCCTTCTCTCAGCATTCGCTGGCCTAGTCTACTGAAATTATAAAATGTCTGGGAAACAAATGGTTTCTGAGTTCTGAATAGGTACCTACCCACAGTCCTAATATAAAATGATCTTAGTTGAGGCTCAGTGTAATGCAAAATATAATCACAGGGAGTAGATGATGTTCCATGCTGAGTGATGCCTAGTATGTGTGTATCGTTTTGCTTCTGTTCTGAAAAGCAAGTTTACAAATGCCTTAAACACTTTATTAGAATAAAAATAGAAAAGCTGCAGTATTGCTTTGTCTTTGAGTTGAGATTGTTTACTCCTCTTGTGTTCAGTCAAGTAGGAACCCTGTGCAGATAGATACAATTTGGTGACATGTAGCAAGATTTTGGCAAGGCAAAGATCTAGTTTGTGATCTTCAGGGGCTGAAAAAATAGATCTGGAAGAAAAAGAGGTTCCTAGTGACTGATACAAACGTTGCTGCTGTGCCTTGCTGTCCTGCCAGGCAGAGCATATGGTTCAGGCTTAATGAAAGGCAGAGGCATCAGTTGAATTTGAAGCGAGTCTTAAACAGTACTCTGTGTGTGTGGTTTTGGTGGGGGGGTTTTAATCGGAACATGGTCTTAATGAACATTGGGCTGAAAAGCTGTAAAGGTGCTTCAAGGTTGTGTTCTGAGGGCTGATGAAATGCCAAGCTTTCATCTGAGGGAGTGTAGAGATGTGATTTAGCATGGTAATTATAGGTGCAGTGTTCCTGGCTGTACCAATCTCTGGAGAAAATTACAGCTAAAGTTCTGGTCTCATGATCACTTGATACTCAAAAGCACTGTTTGCAAGAGCTCCTAGACCTGTTTTCTGAAACTAAATCTTATTTAGGTAATTCTGCTTGATCTTTAACGAATGTATTTCTTCCCATTTACATTTTTCCTTTCTCACTCATTTTCCTAGACTGCTGTGCATATCTGAATGTTCAAATTGATTATACCGTCGCACCGTATCCCATCTCAGATGTGATAATATTTCATCACTAGAACAGGGCTGGTGCTAGAGGCAGCTACTGACGATTGTGTTGGGGCTAGCCCTCTAGCTGTGCAGGTGACCTGATGTGGTAGAGGGACCAGTCCTTTGCCTAGGGCTCCCACCCACTTAATGCTAGCTCTGGGTAGCTGGAAGGTATTTAATATGTAGCATTATCTTCTTTCTGCTTGTTTCTGCTATCATTACCTGCTAGTTTGCCATTTCAGGTTCATCCTGTACAAAAGAGAAATAGTCCTTAGAATTTTATTTTAGATTCAAATTAATGTATCTAAAATGTGCCAACTGAGGTTAAACCACAGCAGTATCCTATGCTGGTTTTTTTAAATGTTAGTAGTCATACAGCTTTGTTATTCAGTTTACAGAGAGTTTGACTGAGTGGTATTCTAAAGTTCTCTTACGAAGAAGATTCCAGAAGTATTGGCAACATGACCTGACTTGTGTGTTGATGAAAGTTGTTTTACTTGTCAGTTACACTCCCAATGGGAATTCAAACTGTGAGACACTATTCCAAGGATCTGAATAATGTAATGTGTTACTGCACTCTACTGGGTCACAGCCCAAGACAGTGGGTTGTCTTGTTTTGTGTTTTCAAGCACTGACATGCCTGTTGAGTGTTTATGCAAGTTCAGATTTTTATTTTTAAACTAAAACATGGAAATTAACCAAAAGATTACTTGCATAGCACACTAGTATGAGGATTTTTCAGTAATTCCACAGTCTAGTTTAGTCAGCTGGTAGCAGTTTAAAGTTATCCTTGGTATAGGTTTAAATATTCACAATAAAAACCCAAAGACTTACAAAGGCTAAACTGTTGAAAAAGGTAGGCTCCAAGAGACATAATTTTAAATAGTAAATGGACAATTCTTTCTGTACTCTGCTTTCAAAGTACTGGGAAAAGTACTTCTGAATGAAGTATCTGTCTGCAACTCAAATGCAGAGCAAGGACCTTTGTTCATTTAATCTCAATTTTCTACAAACTGTAATCGGAAAATTTTGTTTTGTTTTGTGCCACTTTACAAGAAACTTGGAGGATAATCTAGTGCTGCAGTTTGTGACACTCTTCTCCTCTTCCAACTTCTGTCAGTGCCCTTGAGCAACATCAAAATACAATCACTTGGATTTATTCCATAGTGTAAGAAGTGTGGATTGCTGGGATAGCTCCTCCTAATGAGCCACGATGATGTCTGTGTGTCGGGAAGAGCTATCATTATGAAACTCCTATTATTGGTTTGTCTCTCCACTGACCTAAAAACACTTCCTTTTGGCATAGGTCTGCAATTCTAACCGTACACAGAAAGATGAGACATAAGTAAAGAAAAACTTGAGTTACGTTACCTAAATGGATGCCAAAGTAAGTTATTTCAAAAATTGTTCTGTGAAGCATAAGGGCTTTAGGGTGACAATTTCTGACGTTACTCAAAGCCTTTCTGCCCTGGCTTGCTGCCTCAGACTTGTGTTGCAGTGCCTTTCAGAGGGCTGTCAGGCTGATCGCAGGGCTAACCACAAAGCTCCAAACTCCTGTTGCTTGGTTTTACTCTTCTATTTCCCACCTTATAGTTGGGGAAAAAAAAAGAAAAAAACAAAGAGGGAGAAACAGAAGCACCTGATTTAATGCAGACCCCCTTTACACATTAAGCTATTATAATCTGTTTGGTTTGGGGTTTTTTATTTTGAAACAGTATGCCACAAAATGTAAGTGCTCCACAGCTAATTTTTTTTGAGATACATTTCGTTTGATTGTATTACATGTCATCAATCTGCAGATTAAAAGGTAGGGCCTCAGAATTCATGAAATATATGTAAGTAAATATTTTGAAAACTACTTCCTGTCAACTCAGTCTGAGGAAAGTAGATATACAGTGTGTGTCAAAAACTCCATTTTTTTCATTGAATGGCAGCAGAGTGAAGCAAAATCATGCATCTATTTAATTATAATTTTTCATGCATCATATTTTAGGAAGATACATGAGTAAAATGTGATGACCGAGAGGGAGTCCCTCTAATTAGTGGCGTTCGAAGTTATGTTTACAGCTCAGATGAAAGTGTGGATTTAGGTTGCATGGGAAGCAGCATGGAGAGAAAGTACCTGATAGCACACGCTGGTTGGGACAGAGAGTTTCTGGGACAGTTCCTCTTCTTACAGTCAGTCTTCCCTGTCTCTGTTCACAACTCCTCCAGAGCCTTGTCCTCAAGCTGTGGTGGTCTGCCAAGGGACAGGTTGTGCCTCTCCTGGTCTTTTACCTTTCTTCAGTCCCTGTCAGCCATTTAACTTCACTACTTTTTTTATCCTCAAGGAGAAAGTCTTTCATGTCGATGCAGTAGCTGCCAACTTGAGATCAAACTAATTCTAGCTAGTTATTTTTAACAGTACAACATAACAATCCATTATGCTCCAAATAGGTGGGGTTACTGAAAGCTTTACTTCACGCTCTTGTGTACAGCCAAGTTGACGGGAAGCAGATGTTCCCTTAGCGTACTCTGAAGTTAGGCCAGACACAGTAAGCGAAACTTCCTTACAGGTACTTGGGTCTGAGTTAACAAGGAAAGCAAATGCAAAAATAAAGGAATTGTCTGTTGGGTTTTTGTGGGTTTTTTTGGCTTTGGGTTGGGTTTTCTTTTTAATTGGAGTAATTTCTGTTCCCTTCAGCAAGGCATCCTGTCAAAACTAGTTGAGTTCTTTAGAAGTTGGTTTCCTTTTCCACAATACAAGAAAAATGATGACATACTTCACCGACTGGTAAGTGATCACTTTTTTTTTTTCCCCATTTCCTTTCCTAATCCACAAGTCTTCCTCTCCTCTGTACCTCATCCTCTGAGCACCATCTTTGGTCTGTACTGTTGGTTTTGGCTCTGAGAGTTTTACTTCTTCAGATAACATTGATTCTGGTTTTCAGAGTTACTGTGCCAGGCAAATTGGGCACACAAGAACAGGAAAAATATCGGTAGCCAGCTTGAAGATGTTAAAAATGTGGAAGAGAAATCAAAATAAAATGTGTGAGAAATTAAAGAAATTCTTGAAAGCTGAAAGGAGTTAACCTACAGTGTAGCTACCCCATTTGGTGGAAGGCAGTATGGAGACGCTGACTGAGAAAGTCCATATGTTGCAGCCTAGTACCTTGCAGACACAGTTCAAGACAGAAGACTCTAGAGCTTTATCTGAGTATTGCTTCACTCTCTGTTTCAGCTTGTTAGCTCAGGCGTAGCACAAACGCAGTGCAGCTGTACTACCCCTGGAACCATCCTGGCCTATTTGTTTCTTCACTGCTCTCCACAGTGCTTCTGCATTTGGGAAAAGCGAAGCAAATTAAGGCACCTTCATTATAATGCTTCAGAACAGTGTTATGCATTAAGAGCAGACGACATCTGTGTAGCGGTCTGGCTGTAGGGAGAGGCAAGAACAGTTCTCTGTACTACCTATGTGCTCTCATCTCAGCAGTTCAGAAGCAGGTTGGGTGTCCATCTGCCTCACCAGAAGTTGTATTCTCCTACTCCTGGAGCCTGCAAGAACTTTTAGGGCCCAAGTCAGCCTGTGAGGGGTAGACCTGAAGGGTGATAGTTCTACCCCAGATAGTTAAAAATAGTTTTGTGCTGCCTTTACACCTGTTCTCTGCAACGCCACTTCTCAACCAGTTCAGTCTCTAGGTTGGCCTGGTCTGAGATCTGCTTTAACTTGCACCCAGCTGCTTCAGGTTCCTAGTCTGGCTTGCAAATGTCACATTAGTCAGACTGTTCCAGAATCTAAAAGTTAGAATTTTGATTTATTTTTTTCTATTGTGAGAAAGGGGTGATGTCTTCAAATGTAGCTTAAAAAAAAAAAAAAAATGTTGAGCAACATGAGAACTTAGGGGTTTCCATTTCTCAGAGTTCTGCTGAGTCCAATTGCTATCTCTTCTCCCTTATCTTAAGAGGACAAAATTTCCTCTGAAATATCTCATTAGTGATCTTTGGTTGTCTTTTTAATTCCTCCCTCTTCCCCTATGAATCAAAGGTATTATATTCACAGCTTTTTTTAGCCTTAATTTCTTGAGATGGAGACACAACCAAATAATATGGAAAACGTGTTTCTCTTGCTGCATGCTACAGTAGGGTACTGAAATGACACAGGCTGCGTCGGAGGAGGGCAGAGTTTCCTCTTGCACACAGTCCTGAAACAAATGTTTTCCATTAAAAGTAGAATGCAAGTTATCACAAGGGACATCAATGTATGGAATTAAACTTTTGACTAGCTATCTTATGGTTTCATAAATAATCTCATTCTGTCAATGACAGAACTAAACAGATTTTGTATTGTGAAATGTCATACTTCTGTTAACAACTTCTACTAGAGGGTTTTACAGAAATGGTCTCCTTTTCCTTCTGTAATCTAGCTAGATGCAAAGATGCATGTGTTCAGTGTTTGTTGGGTTTTGTTATGACGTTCTTAACTTGAAGTGTTTTGTAATTATAGTTTGGTGCAGTATGCAAATTAAAATTTCAGAGGGCTTCTCTGATGGATATATTTGTCTTCAAGAGCTGTGTATTTGTCTTGAAGAGCTATA